AGAACTGAGAAGAGATGACATGTTGAAAAGCAAGTGCATATGTGTTTGTGGCAGCCCAAAATGTCATCTCTTCTAAGAAGCCTCTAGTTATCTGTACATAGAGATCATAATTTCTTCTGGGGCCACCACAGCGCTTTGTCAATTTCTGTTCACATCATGACCCTATACTTATTTATTCCTTTGTCATTCCCTTCTCTATGCACTCTGTCCTATTCATTTTTGTATCCCCAGTGTTTGGAAGTATAAATAAACATTCACCAAATGGATGAAAGGGAGAGGGAAGCTGTGTGGTGAATCGGGACAAGCCCTGAACTGGCAGGAGGCACACAGGGCTCTAGCTCTGGCTCTGCTATGCGTGGCTGCATGACTTTGAACAAGTTCCATTGCTGCTCTGGGTCTCAATTTCCTCATCTGTAAAATGAGAATAAAAATATAAGCCTCCTCCTCAGGGTTACGGAGATAAAATGAGGTAACTGAGCTCACCAGCTGCCTGCCCAGTTTGTGCCCTGCCCTTGTGAAACAGCCTGGGCTATTGTTCCCGTCATTTGGATCTCATTCACTTGCTCTCTCCTGGTGAGAGGCAAGAAAATCTGTTGCCCGGCCAGGGAGGGGGAGTTTGCAGCAGTGGCATACAAATTGTCCAGGTGGCCTCTGAATTGCTGGGAGGGCAGACACCAAAAGAGAGAAGCATGTTAGGGCAGAGAGAGAGAGAGACTGAGTCGCTTCTTTCATGATCCCCAAAGCTAAAGGAGGATCTAAAAGGAGGAGCATGAGGTAGGACAATTCCACAGCATGTGCTGATGGGTCACAGGAAGCCCTCAGACATGCCCCCCTAAGCCCTGGAATTTAGCAGCATCTGGAGGAATGCCACTGTCACGAAGTCTACTCATTCATCTACTGTCATAATTTCTTTGTGCCTTAGGCTGGTATTATGAACTGTATCCTGAGCATTCCCATACAAAGAAAGATGAGGGGAGGTAAAATATTGCAAATGACAAATAAAAGGAATGGCATCTGGGGGAAAAAATGGGAAAAACCTCCCATGTAAAAATGTATTTTAGGCACTGCTGTCTCAATTCCCAGGTGAAATGTCTTGCCAGAAGATCTAGTACCATTGTTCCTTGTATATTGCAAACTCTTCCTTCAAAACTAGGTTTACTCCTGATATAAAAGGCATGTGACTGAGGAGGCCGTGAAATCTGCAACTGATAATTTGTGGTGCTTTTCTGGGAGTCGCATTTATTGAGCTTATTTGGCTTCATGGACGGACTGGTTCTCATGACAAGTAGTCAAGGAAAGACGATGATGGGAAAATAAAGATGGGGCTGAGGACAGCAGAATCCCTTCCCAAGGTGAAAAAGTCAGTCTTGGTGTTAAAGCTAGTGACCTTCAAAAATTTTTTTTCTTGGCCCAGCACTGTTGCCTAGTGGGTAAAGTCCTTGCCTTGCATGTGCTGGGATCCCACAAGGGCGCCAGTTCGTGTTCTGGCTGCCCCTCTTCGCATCCAGCTCCCTGCTTGTGGCCTAAGAAAGCAGTCGAAGATGGCCTTTGGGACCCTGCACCCATGTGGGAAACCCACCTGGACGAAGCTCCTGGCTTCACATTGGCTCAGCTGTAGCTGTGTGGCCTCCTGGGGAGTGAACCAATGGACAGACAATCTTTCTCCTTTCTGTTCCTCCTCCTCTCTCTATATCTGACTTTCCAATAAAAAAAATAAATCTTAAAAAAATACATTTTTACATGGGAGGCTTTTCAAAAAAAAATTGTGTGTTCAATACTGTGTGGCACCTTTAATCATGAAGAACTTTGGCTGAGTTCCAGGCTGATTCGGTTGGCACAGCCAACTCTGAGATCATACCCTATATTCAGACACAGAAGACATATTTAATCCATTTCTGAAAATAAAGAGGAGGGAAATGGAGCATATTTTGAACAGTTTCATAACAAAACCACACCAGGGTGAAGGATAGAGGACATCCTATTCATTTAGAGTTACAAAAAGTAATATTAATTCTCAAAACCTCAGTGGCATTTTAAAAAATTCTTAGGTGCTTCACAATGAAATAAGCAGCTTGCATAAATCTGAAGGCAATCACCTATTTCCCAGGCTCATGAAGAAAGCAGACAGACTTACCTAAGACTACTTTGCATTATGACAAGGAGAAAAAGAAAAAAAGAAAAACGAGAAAGAGAGAGGAGCAGCAAAGGCAAAACAGCTCCCAAAGTAGCAGGTCATGATTCCAGGAGTTTGAGCTCCTAGAGCTGAATTTAATCCACACCCAGGCCAAATATAATTCTCTAGGATGGAAGTGGTCCAGGACACCTTGCCAAAGGTCCTACAGCAGTTTCTGGTGACATTTTTGTTTCTCAGCTGAAATAAAGGCCAGCATCACTGGACAGGCACTTCCCAGCAGTGTAGGGCACTGTCTCAGGCTCATCCGAAGGAAGGGTGAGATCCTTGACTTATCATTGGCTCGTGGCATTGCCTTTGGTTTTTTGGAGGTCTCCTATCCAATTGTCCGTTGGACTGTTGGCTCACACACTCTTAGGTGGCAAGGTTGAATAACTTCACTTCATGGGTCAGCACTGAGTCTTTGATTGGGTATTATGGTTCTTTATGACAAGCCCCCAAAACCTTACGTGCAACTAGGGCTGAATGATTGCTCTGTGTATGAGCAATGAAAACCCCACCACGAAAAAATGGAAGGTGATCTAGGCCAAAGCTGCTGTAGAAACGTGAAAGCCATTATCTTTTTCACACTTCCTCCCTTCCCCCTCATTCTCTTTGGGAATACAGAGGGGCATAGTGAACAAAATAAACCAACTTTCCCTTGACTGGTTGTTCTGCCTTCTAAGTGATCAAACATGAGTACTTCTGGCTTCCAGATATGGTGAAACAAGACTGCTGGAAAACCAGACACAAATTCGAGATGATCTTCCAGCATTTACTACCTGAAGGAACAGAGCAGAAAATTAAAACCAGCGAGCCCTGCCACCAGGTTGACCTGCCTTCTGATTCACATTTGGATTTCAAAAATGTGAGAAAGAATCCTAGGGTGTTTTTTCTTGCTCAACTCTGTCTAGCCACACTTAGTGGCTCTCTAACTCTTACTGTATGATCCGGTCCATACACATTGGACTGCTCCCCAGAACTGCTTGAGGCCGGATGGGGCAGCTTTCCAGAAGGCAGAAGCACCTTGGGAGGTAAAGCGTGAGACGTGGCAACTCTTCCACAGGCGGATCAATGTAACACAGCCGCTCAGCTTTGCTAGGGCTTAAATCAGGTTGTCAAACACAGTTGACGTTTTACTCCTGTGTAAAAATAATTCTTTTTGCCTTCTCAGACTGTATTGTAGCATATGTGGATGGCAATTCTAGGCACAAATCTGCTTTCAGCTATTCAGTTTTCTCCAGCAAGTCAATCAGTACTTTCTTGGAATGCACGGACATAGTCAGCATTTTCAGGCCGGAACAGATCTCGAGCTAGAAGCTTTGGGGGAGCCACCGGAGTTTGTGAGGAAGGGGATCTGTGAGGGAAATGGACCGGGACCCTTTTTGGTTAAAGATCGCCAACACCTGTGATTTAGCTCCGAAATTACACACGCACTACATTTATCCTTTTTCCTGGCATGAGCTGGAAAGCTTCAACGGGCCGTCCCCTATTTATTGCAGGTGTGGGGTTGCTGATGGGTTCAAAAGTTCTCGAGTGGAAACTCAGAAGAACTGGGAAACACTTGCCGGAGAAATGCCGAACTGCTCTAGGGAAGCAGAAGCGACCGGTCTGAGGGAGCGGCGTCGGGTACCCCTCTCATTGAGGGGTAACGGTCCTGTAGTGGGGCTGGCGACTTTGGTTTTATTTGACAACTTATCCCGGGTGTGTGCGTGTGTAGGGGACGGTCCTAGCACGGGGAGCAGATTGCAAGGAGGGACTCCGCGGGCGGAGGTCCGAGGAACCGAGGAGCGCGCAGCCACTGCGCCCGCGCTCCCCTCCCCCGCCGCTCGTCTCCGGGCAGAAGCGGCTCCCGCCAGCCCGTCCTCTCCCGCTTCTCAAGCGTCCGGGTGGACCGAGCCACAGCGGGAGCCCCGCCTGTCTCCGGGCAGCTTGAACCCCTGAGCGCTCGCCCAGCCTGTCAGTAACCGCCGTTTGCGCTTTCTTTCTTTCTTTTTTTTCCATCCTCTTTTCTTCCCTCTTCTGCCTTTGTCCCGCTTGGTAACTGGGCTCTGACCAATCGCTGTTTCACCGGCCGGCGCCGGCTCTCTCCTGATTGGCCCGCTCTGGGAGCGCAGCCGTCTCCCGCTTCTTGGCTGGAGCAAGGCAGACAAAAGACGCAGGCTCCAGGCTCCGGCAACCGGGATCAGCCAATCACCACCCGACTTAGCGCTCTCCCACCCCCTCCCTTCTCCCCACTCCCACCCGGCTTGGCTCGCGTGCTCCAGGCCCTGACTCCTGGCGTGCGGCCAGCGCCCGGACCGTACCATTCTGTTGAGACTTGGGGGGGTGGGAAGAGGCGCGCTGATTAAGGAACCGAGGCCTAGGGAGCGGAGGGGAGAATTGAAAGCCGAAATGGAGGTCAGTTTCATGAACATTTTCTTAGGTACCTGACAGAACCCTCAAGTACTTCTAAGCGGGAGACGGCGGAAGGGGCGACGGGGATGCTAGCCGTCCCTTTGCCCTACGCGGTTGGGTGGTGCCTCAGCGGGTGGGGGGGGAGTGGGCGCGGGGGAGGATGTCCCCTCCGCGCCGTTAAAATGAAACTCTAGTGGCTGGAGTCAGGGCAGAGCGTGAGGGGAGCCGGCGCAGGCGGGCCTGCTCGCACCCCGGCGGGAGCGCCCGGCCAAACCGGGCTGCCTGAACTCTCTCCCACGGCCCTGAATCCCAAGGCTGCGGCAGCTTCGGTTCCGAGCCCTGAGGGAGTTGCTCTGTGTAGACCATTGGGTTCCCGAAACTTGAACGCAACCCTCCATCCCTTTTTTACGCCTGCCTTTGTCACTTCCCTAGCTTTCTCCCAGCGCGTTTTTTTTTTTTTCCTTCCCTCTCTAGTCTTCTGTCCGAAGGACCACAAAAGTGGCTTCCGCGGAAAGATTCAGAGGTGGCAGGAGATTTTTCTTTGGAGATACGACTGAGTGAAAAGATTTTGGGGAAGCCGTTTTTAAACACCCCGACCCTCGAGCCTCTCTCTGTGTATCCTCTGAGGAGAGAAAAAAAAAAAAAAAACCAACAAAAAACCGTAGCTTGAAAGTTCGAGAGGCATTTCGCCGGGTGCTGTGAGAGGAGAGAGGGAGTTGGCTGGACTTGTACCGGTCGTTGGAAGCCCCGAGGTCCATTTCCGTGTGGAACTTTTACAGATATATATTTTTAGATTTTTAAAATATCAGATAAAAATATATGCTTTCTATATATTTTCTGACGACCTGCCCCTGACAGCGCGATGTACAATACGGTGTGGAGTATGGACCGCGATGACGCAGACTGGAGGGAGGTGATGATGCCCTATTCGACAGAACTGATATTTTATATTGAGATGGATCCTCCAGGTATTTGGGAGAAAAAAAAAAAAAAGCTTTTTTTTTTTTTAAAAAATATTTTTTGGTGATGGGTGTGATGTGTGTTTAACAAGCCCTTCATGATATTTGGAGGGCAGAAGTATTTCTAGGGGTACTAGATTCGGGATGAGGGGTTTGCAATTAGAGCTGCAGTAAAACCGCTTGTGGTTTACACATTTAAAGTTTGCGGTTAGGACCCTGATCCTATTGTCCTGCGAAGGTGGGGGTAGGGTTTGGAGCGGGAGTGGGAGGAAAGACCCCCCCCAGCACTTTTTTTTTTTTTTAACTTTTTTGCTTTTGCATGTTGCTGAGGTTTTTGTCTTTTGTCGACTACCCCCCTCCTCCCCGCCCCAATTAACAACAATTTCTACCTGCGAGGTGTTTTATATCCCGCTCTTGAAGTCAGGCTTTCCCTTGGCGGGGGCGGGGCGGGGAGAAGGTAGGGGATATGAGGGGGGAATTCCATAAAGCTTATCGTTTCACCCATTTCTCTGATTTAGGTCCTTGTGTTTTACCTTGGTTAACTTCTGACACTGAGGTGCCTATGTGGGTCTGCATTTTAAGACTCCGTTTCTCTTAGCGAAACCAAATGCCAGTTAGTGATTTTCAGGGACTTGGTGTTCTTACTCAGTCATGGCCTTCGTCTGAGGTTTTTCCTTTTCAGAATATAGTTACTCAGAGAACTATGGGCAGCGTTTGATCACTATTTAATTTATGGAAGAATGTTTAATATAACTTCAGTTCTCAGAAAAAAAAAAGAGGAACCTTCCTTTTAACTGGAGATAGATGATATTGTACATATGTGTTCTGGATTCCTGTGCATGCAATGTGAAGTATACATATATTGTATTTTTGTTTTCTAGAGCTTTGTCTGAAGCCATTACAGACATTTTGTGTATCTGGAAAGGAAAGGAAAGGAAGAGAAAATGGAAAAGTTATTTTCTTTTCCCTTTAAAATCTTCCCCATTTTAAGGTTATTAGCTGTCAGATTTTCAAACCTTGTTTGCAATTACAGAAGGTGCTTTATATAACGATTTTGAATAAGTAGAGGGCCTTTGTGACTCGTGGTTTTTGTTGTGGATGAATTCATTATGCTTTAAAAAATATGTTATAGCTAAGCCTACAGAATAAATTGCGTGTCATGGGGGAATATCACTTATTGTAATATTATGTGTTTTTGGAAGTGTTGGAAAGTATTTGAGTCCACACATATGTAATGAAGTAGAAATATGTCATATAGAAGGTATGTGGAAATTGTTTAATGTGGCCTTACAGAGAGTAGATTATCCTGGTTTTTCCCCCCATTAGTCATGGTATTTAACTGGTACTATATTACAAACTCTTGACCTAGAATGAGCCCTCTTCGTCCCTAATGATCATTTAGAAGTTTTTCTTTTTTCTTTATTTTTAGAGCCTTGTTTGCTTTTCTAATTATGCCTGCAATATAGAAGCAGCTTTTCAGTGTTCTGTAAAGTTTGTAAAATTTACCACCCATCTATTGTGTATGTCTCCCCCTTTGTTTCCCTCTAATGGTAAAGCATCACTTCTGTTAGATGCATTTGACGTTTATATGATTCTGCACTTACTGCATCACTGGTACTTCTCGTGTAAAAAGTGAGTTTGGTAATTCTAGATTTCTGTTATTGTAAGAATTATGTATTCATGCCATCTTAGAATCATACCATGGCATACAGCAGCTTGCCTCCCAGACATACAAAGAGAATATGTTGGGTGGGGAGATAAGTAGAGAGGAAGAGGGGAAAAAATTAAGAAGGCAGTAGTGGTTGAAAAATACTGGTGAAGTTAAGTTTAGTGCAAGAACAATTTTAAGAAAAGTTGACTCTTACAATTAGGTGGAGATGTGAATCTTATGAGAGTGTATAGAAAATTCTGATCTAAACTTTAATTTCCATAGCAATAAACTTTTGACCTTAAACGTGTTCATCCTTGAATGAAATTGTATATACTGAGATTTTATTCATGGTATTGAAAGATATGTATATGGTGCTCTTTATTATCCATGTCATGTCCATAATGTAGAATATGGTTAGTTATTACTGATGGCTTTTTAAAAGGGAATCATCACTTGATTATTCTGAAGCATTGCCAATGAAATAAATGTTGTAATGGAAATAATGTGACATGCCAGCCTTGCTTTGTCTGATAATTAAGTTTTTGAAACATTTATAGCTAGAACTAAATCATCCGTGAAGTGGTTGCGGTATGTTTTGGGTCTGTATTTTTCCTGGTTTTCACTCCAATCAAGCTCTGAATATTTCATTCCTGGACCAGTGTGATAGCATACTTAGAACCTCTTTTGCATTTCTACTCTGTTCCTTCCACAGTAATGTTAGTCTTTCATTTGATGTTTTTACTTTCCGATGATACCTCTAAAGGTCTTTAAAAGTTCCTCATGGCCTTCTTTGGTCTACCAAAAAAAAAAAAAAACCAACCAAAAACCAAAACAAACAAACAAAAAAATCCTTTTATTTTTGTTTCCAAACTGACTTACAGTCTTTTCTGGAATCCATCAGAACCTCTGTGGAAGATAACTTTGTATTTGCTGTGTGCCTTGAATGTATGCTTCCCTGTACTCCCCGTCCCCCCGACTTCTTCTTGGGTTGCCTGTGGTGCCCAGCATTCACTTGTTGGAATCTTACATGTATTTCAGACCTAGGTTAGTTACCTTCTGTGCCAGGTGTGTGTTCCCTGATCCCTTGTTGAAAGTCAGCCCTCCTTTCTTTTCCCTCCCTCTTTAGGCACTTCAGATGGAATGCCTCCATCTGACAGATGAGCATTCTGTCTACTGCAGCTACTGCGTTTGTTTATATATGCTTCCCCTCATGGAATTGTCGATCCACCTGGTTATGGTTATGAGCTTCTTCGTTTGCTTCAGGTCTTACAAGTAGTAGACAATTTAATGAATGTGTATTGAATTAATAAATAACTAGGATGCACTCTTTCTTTCTAGCCTTTAGGTGTTTTCTTAACTTAAGATCCTTGGTCATTTCATTCCTTGGCTGTTGTAATAGACTAGGATTAAATAACTTTGAATTAGACCTCTTTTGACTTAGAGCCCTTAATTATAATGGTGCCAATTTTTTAAAAAAAAATCTTGATTTTAGGCTGAACCATAAATGCTTAATTCTTATTTTTATTGCTTTTAGTGACCTAAAAAAAATTTCTAAGAATGTATTTCCCTCCAGCTTTTTACATAAAACAGTTGTTAACCATGAATCCTCAAGGTTTCTAATTTCATGAATTGCTATTTTCTATCACTTATTGATAGTGTAAGAGTTCAGAGGAGTGCATAATGTCTTTATGTATTTTCCAGCAGTAGTAAAGATACTGTTTGTAGGAGATATGAAACTTTTTTTTTCTAGAAATGTTAAGATCATGGCACAAAGGAATTGGTTAGTCTTGTGAGTTTGAGAATTGAGATTGTTCGGCAAAAAAGCAGTGGCTGGATAGGCTTCTCAAAGAGTCTCGTTTCTGGTGTATGAAACTGCACAAAGCTTGTGTATCATGGTTTGTTAGCTTGCCACTTTGGTTCCGTTCTTGTTATTTTTATTCTAGGAAAATTAAGTGATTTTTGGAAAATTAATAAATATTACTGTTTAGTGTTTGTAGACTTTGTTTTCTTTAAGAGAAACTTTTGGAATTATATTTAGAACAGCAAGTTTTCTTCAGTAGATAATTAGAAAATTAAAAATTGTAATGATTTAGCAGAACTAAGCACAGTGAGGCCCAGAGAAGTGTTTCTCAATTTTTTGGTCTCAGTATCCCTTTTAGACTTCCTGTCTCTTTTAATAAGACTTGTAGATTTATTTGAAAATCAGAGTTGAGGGTGAGAGAGATCTTTATCTGTGGGTTGACTTCCTAAATGTCTGCAACATCTGGGCTAGACCAGGTTGAAGCCTGGAGTGGTGAACTCCATCTTGGTCTCTGTCGTAGGTGGCAAGGATCCAAGCACTTGGGCTGTCTCTGGCTGTACTCTCAGGAGCATTAGCAGGGAACTGGTGTCCATATGGGATGCTGGAGTCACAGACTGCAGCTTAACTTGCTGTGCTACAATGCTGGCTCACAGATCCTTAAGAATTATTGAATATCCGTGAAGATCTTTTATCTACGTGGGTTATATCTATTGTTACTGTGTTAGATAAGACTGAGCAATTTTGAAAAAGTTAATCTAAAAATAATAAATCACTAATAAATGGGAAGAGTGATACTTGTATGTTTCTCCAGCTAGCTTCAATATCTGACTTGATGGGAAACATTGATATTTGCACGTCTGTTCTTGCATTTCAGTTTGGAGAAAACCGCTGTGCAGCTGGGAGATAAGGAGAATAGAAAAGTCAAATCGTGTCTTAGTAATAGTAGTAGTTTTGTCCTTTCAGACATTCTGCAGGGGTGTTGAGAGTGAACTTGGCCACGTTTTGACAACTGCTAGCCCAGAGATCATCTGACTTGTTTGGTGGCTCACCTGGTCCAGTATCATCTGACCTTGAAGTCAGATGAAAAGATTGTTTAGGGAAACTTACTTGCTTATCCTGGCATACTTGGTGTATTCAATGTGGTAAAATATATTTATTTTTAAAAGATTTATTTGAAAGAACAAAAGAGCGAGAGAGAGAGAGAACTTCCACCTACTGCCAGTGCCCAAGTGGCCACTACCAGGATATAGGCCGGGGCCTAAGCCAGATGGAAGCCAGGATCCAGGAAAACCATCTGGGGCTCCCGTGTGAGTGACAGGGGCCCACAGTGCTTGGGCTGTCTTCCCAACGTGTTAAGCTGGATTGGAAGTTGCACATGTGGAACTTGAAGCGGTGGTCATATATATAGGATTCTAGCACTGCAAACAGCTGCCTCAGCTGTAAAATAAAAATTAATTTAGTGAAAAAAATTTTTTTAAGATTTATTTATTTATTGGAAAGTCAGATATACAGAGGAGGAGAGACAGAGAGGAAGATCTTCCGTCCGATGATTTCACT